GCGACACCCGGGACCCGCGCCCGCTCCTGCGCCCCCGGCCGGCGTCCGCTCGGGGAGGGCGCGGCGGGGACGCTCTGTGACGGCCGCCCTGCCGTGCGGAGTTGGGGGGCTCCTCAGCCCAGCTGGTTCTGGCCGGTCGGTCTCGACGTCATCCCCGAATTGGCCCTCGTTTGCCTCGTTTTGCTGCGATGCCGCCTGCTCTGTACCGGGCGATGTAGTGACTCTCACTGCGGAGCGCAGATTGCCAGCTCCGTCGCCCTCAGCGCGCTCACGGAGAAAGCCTGCTGCTTTTCATCGGGCCAGCTGGGTGAGGATTCGGTGTAACTGAGCGATTTTAAATTGCTTATTATGTGCCCCGCACTGTTGCCAAGTGCTTTCACGTGTGCACTTATTCACTTAGCGCTATCAGTGAATAGGTGCTTTTGTCTGATGCTGCCGTTTTTGCAGATGAGAATAGGGTTCTTGGAGAAGTTAAGTGAAGGCTGAGTCCTGCCGCAGATCCCGGCTCCCTTGGACCTACAAACACCTTGCAGGGCTAGTGCTATCCCATTAGATTTTCCAAGTTTTTGAAAACATCACTGTTCTTCCTAATACAGTGCCCAAAGGAATACAGAGATTTCCGTTTAACTTAGTAAAAATTTCTCACTGTCGTTCGACAAGCAATATAGGGGTTCTTTATCCTGACTAGTGGTTGATGCAGAAACCAGCTTAAGCAGAACCGCACACATGGTTACAGTATCATATTTTGTTTATTCATTCTTCCCTTGATGGATCTGGTGATTTTTTTAAAAGTATTTGATACAGGGTCTCGCAATGCAGCTTGAACTCGTAGTGATCCTCCTGTCTCAGCCTCCCCAGCGCTGGTATTACAGGCACAGGCCACCATGCCTTGTTTTAGGCGTTCTCCCCGGGGGCGGGGCCGCCTCCACCGAGGCACTGGATCTGGTGATTTTCTGGCCCTGGATCTTGGTGGTTTGTGTGTGTAGTGTGTACTAGAGAGAAAGGTAAACGATGATGAGCTCAAGCAGTGAGTGAGTTCTTATTGATTTTTATGATAAACTGTTACTTAGAAGATTTAAGATGGTATTGTGGTACCAGGTGTGCTACCTAATGGTGACGCTCATTACCTGCAGTTTGTGATCATTAAATGAATTGTGAAGGGCATTGATCAACAGAAGTACATTTTTTTTTTTCCAGAAGCAAATTTTTGTTTCACTTGATCCATTTTTGTAAAATTTTACAACGGGAGCTTTTTCCATATCCTTTGCAAATGACTGTTAACTGGTGTGCATTTATTTATTTGGTAGAAATAGTGTATTGATACTGTTTACCCCGGCCCTCAGCCAAGCGGAAACACTGTTTCTTTGAGTGAAGGTTGACTGATAGAATTGTGCCTACTTTGATATGTTTTAATTCTACAGACCACTTAAAAGATAGTTCTTAAACTCAGAGTAGCAAGCTGTGACTTCTCCTTTGCTAAAAGTAACACAGTTATTAGAGATGCAGGTAGTAGTTACACTGGGTGAAAATTTGTGGCTTTCTGTGATCTTGGTTTTAGCAGTCTGGGATGGATACTTCATTGCCCTATTTATGTTTATCTTATAAATAAAATGATGGTATTTTTCACCATTCCTGAACATGTTTGTCCTTCCGTCTCCTCTGAGATTGTACAGCATAGGATTAGGTAGTTTAGATTATACTGTAAAATGCTGTAGAATTCTTGAAGGAGCAAGCAGAGCTCACTGTGTAGAATTGTCTTGTTGTCTCATTTTGGTGTTTTTGTTCTCTGAGTTCCTGAAATTGAATCACATTTCTTCAGCTGAATTATAGCAGTTTAAGCAAAATCTGTCTTGACAGGACAGCTATAAAATATTTTCTTGAATAATTTAAAATCTAGTAACCTGTTTGAACCATTACATAGAGGAGTTCGTTCCCATTTCTCTCCACATTTCTTCAGATTTATTCACTGCCTGCGTGGCCTGGAAACCTGGTGATTTCCATTCCTTGGTCAGAGAAAAAAGAAATTCTTGTCATTTCTGGCCTAGATCTGCCTCACTCACACTGCCCCTCACCCTTGAGTTGCTGTTCAGAGATCCTTAGAGCCCAGGGTGAATGAGTAGCACCTGGGGAGTTTTTCTACAGTCCAGGGTTTTAGGCCTCACTCCCAGGGATTCGGATTTTCCTGGTCTTCAGTTGGGTTATAAATTTGCATCAGAAAAAGCACAGTCATAAGTCAAAATTCTGATATCCAGGATGTGGGTAGTACTGTAGTCGTGGCTTTGTAGAAGTTCATAAGATTTTTCGTTGAATCTGTTCCCACAGTAAGGCACACCATTTTATATTACTACTAACAAACAAAAAGTGTAGTAATAAACCTCACCCCAAGTTTAGGCATGTTAATGAGAGCAGTGAATATCTTAAAATACAGGGTTTTAAGGCATCTGTGGCGCTGAGGGGTGCCGCTTATGTTACAGTTTTATTATGAGGTGTAGAACGAGATAAATGATAGCAGCTTTCCTCAGATGTACTGCCATGTGAAATGTCTATATAAAAGTTTATATACATTGTCCTTCCTTGCCACTGGTTTTCAGTGAAGATAATACTCGTGACTGCTTTACATGCAATTTAAAGGGATCTTGCCCTCCAGTTTGACCCCATTGGATTTTCCTTTCATTTTCAGACATTTCTGTATTTGTGGCTCAGTTTAGAAGTTTTACTGAAGCATTTACTCATTGTCACTTTGACATCAGGTGCGGCACGATGGTTTGACTTTGGTCATTTCCTGTCAGTTATTTTTTTATTTTTATGTTTTTCAGTTAGACAACTCTGTGGCCATCAGCAGAGCCAATGAGCTGATTATGCACAGAGCCTCCAGTCCTGTGGCTGTCACGAGAAGTTTTAGGATGTGGTTAAGACCAAGCCTCTGTCAGAGTAGACTGGAGCTCTGGCTGCCAACCCAGTAAGAAAAGCTGCGACATCCTATTGGATACTGCAAGAAAATGTATAGGTTCAGACAAGTCTTTCCCCAATAATGAGAATTTAATGAAAAGCCCAGCCACATTCTATGGTATGACCTTCAGTGGTGGAGAAAAGTTAGGTGAGTTGGATTTGGGAAGGAGGAACAGAATGTGAGTCCTTTTCAGTTTTAATCCCTCAGCATGTGTTTGGAAAACATACTTGTTGATCCACTGGACTGTTTCCCAAATCAGGTATCTTGTGTTTCTGATGAGGAGTACTTCTAAATTTCTTCAGCTAATTTAGGTGAACTGGAAGAATATTAGGCATTTGTGAGATTGAAGTGACTTGGGTTGGAATTCTCTCAGGATGTAGTGCATGTGGTCTGTCAGGCTTGGCTGCTTTGGTCCCCACTAAGACTTTGGGACAAAGCTGGTCTAGACTGGACACCTTCAAATGACTGACCTGTTTGTAGTGTTTTTGTACTATTAAGTATTTTCTCGAGTTAGATTTTAAAGACCACATTCTATTAGATGTACAGTATACCTAATAAAGATAGCAGCTCACATCGCATACTGAGATTTTAAATGTTAATAATCTTCCAAGTGAATATTATGTCACCCTTCTCAATTTACTTTTCGAAGTTCAGCCTGGCAAAGATGTGTGGCCTCTGAGTAAGATAGGCTATTTGATAACAGTCTCTTATTTACTATACACATAACTTGTATTGCTAAAGGGAAAGTGTTTAAAAAATAAATATTTGGAATTTTAAAAGTTGGTCAAGCATGAGATACATAATTATCCTATGCTTTATTAGGCTCATTGCATACACTTACATAAAGGAAATAGCAGTATTAACTTCCCACTAAAATCATCTTATAGTTAATGAAATGAAGTTTAATTCAGTGCGATTAATTATTATCAATTTATTTATGTATCCTGCGATGGATTTGGAAGAGTCAGTGCCTAGCTTCATCCCTGCCTTCATTGTAAAAGGTCAGTGTCATCTATAGAAAGGAAAAGAATCCTTTCGAAGAGTGAGGTGGTGGTATTTCCTCTAGAAAACAAGCTGCTTGGCACGGAGAGCGGGCAGTTAGGACAGTGCCTCGCGGAGTGCAGGACTTAGAATATTGGATCGGTCCTAGCGCTGTAGGAGGATTCTTAAGAGAAGCAGTAGAAACTGTATGGGGCTGTGTATCCTGGACTTTTAGGGCATGGCCACAAAGTTTTAAATTTTTTATTTTAGATTTTTTGATCAAATTTTTTTTTCCTTGCCTCATAACTCTGTAAATTGTACCCCTTAGACCTGTATGTCCCATGAGCCTGAGTTGATTTTCACATTTTTCAGTGAGGTAAAAAAGAAAAATTTGATAGTACATGAAAATTTTAGGAATTCAAATTTCAGCGTGTAGGCGTAGCTTTATTAGAACGTGGGTGGGTTGTACATTTTCACATTTTTGGTGGTTTGCATTTCAGCTACAGCTGTGAAGTGGGGCACTTGTACAGTCTTCTTCTTACAGAAGTTTCCCAATGCTCATCCTGTTTTACTCACAGATATATAATTATTTATTGCATATTTTTTAGTGTCATACTCCTTTTTGTAAATGTGAGATAATATTGTGGCTGTCATAGTTGTAGTATTCATTTCAGTATTCTCTTTTTCCTCTCTTATTCTTTGTACGTAGGACAGGGTCTACAGGGTCTCACTATGTAGATCAGACTTTTAGTGATTCTCCTGTTTTCAGCCTCCCAAGTACTGGGATTACAGACGCGCACCACTGTGCCCAGTCCCCGTTCCTGGCTGGCGCAGCAGGCTGGGGATCTAACCTCAGATGCCCTGTGTCCACCTAAGCAGGCACTTTAATCTGCTGAGCTATCTGGCCCACCCTTCCTCTCTATTTTAAATATCCTCACACAACTTGCTATTTTAGTTTGTCCTCTTGATCTTTATTAGTATGAATTCTTTAGAGAAACAGTACCAAGAGGAAATATATAAACCAGATAATGCATTGCTGTGTAATTATCTATCTATAGATATATAGATTATAAGTATAGATGGTGACACACCTATAGATATAGAACATGTATTTCTTACCTAAAGGTGGAGATTATATGAATTTAGATAATATAGCTATAGATCATATCCATACATTTTTTTTTTAAATTTTATTTATTTATTTGTATGTGTGTGTGGGGCGGCAGCTCAGCCCACCAGGGGGAGGGGCTGGCTGGCATGTGGTGCTGGGGGATTGAACCGCGGTCCCTGTGTTTGCTAAGCTTGTTCTAAGTAGGTGCTTTAGACCATTGAGCCATCTCACCAGCCCCATAAGGATTTTTTTTTTTTTTTTGCTC